CTCTCTCTCTCTCTCTCTCTCTCTCTCTCTCTCTCTCTCCTTCCCCCCTTCCTCCCCCCCTCTCCTGGTTAAGTTATCCACAGGATTCAGCATGAATTAACACCCATTCATTCCATGAACCTTTTGTCTACACTGGCTTCCTCATTTTCTTCTGAACAGTCTCTACACACAGATTCTCCACAACTGTTTATTGGGGTTCCAATTAGGTTCTTCATTTATCTCCACAGGTTTCCCTGGTCTATTCCATTCATGTAATTTATTCAAACTGTCCTCTTGTACTTAAGGAAAATCTATTATTTCCAGCTTTAAACTTTTGAAGGCTAGAGCTTTAATAGTTCAAGTGACACAAGACACAATAAGAAAGATGGAGATATAATCAGATTACATAACCCAAAAAAACCTAAGTCACAAGATACTTAAATGGTGTTTCCCCTAAGGGGGAATTCCTGTAATTCCCCATTAGCAGGTTTCTGGACTAGGTTTGAAGAAGCAAATCATTGCTACATATTCTGGGAATGTAACATATGGATGCCCAGCCTGGAAGGGGCACTGCTCTGGATAAACACAGAAGTGTACGTATCATGAGCAAATATGGCCTGCAGGGTTAAGCTTTTCCACAGTGAAACAAAACGACAACAAGTGAAGATTCTCAATTTTTACAGTCTATGAATGCTAGGTAAGAAAGTCTCGGCTCCCCAGCAACCTCATGCTTCTATAGGCACTATAACATCACTGTCTACAATACTGGCTGGTGGCAATGGTTACAATTTCTTGGGGTTTAGATCTAATCTCTTAGCTGGACTAGACTTGCATATCCTACATGGAAGGCATTTTTGTCATGTATATCTTTTTGGTAATGTAACATGTTAAAGTTTTAGAATCAGGCACCACAAAGTGTTTTTTGTTTGTTTGTTTGTTTTTGTTGTTGTTGTTGCTTTATAGTGTCCAGTTTTCAACCACAAATCCTTCATGGAATGAGTTATCCTATTGTAAATATCTATGACTAAATGACCCATCCTAAATATTGTCTAGGGATTGCCATTTCTATGATCTTCTGTTTCCTTGTTCTCTGTGTTTTGGAGGCTAGAAGGTTGTAATGCATAATTCCTAGATTCCCTTATCCCTAGATTGTGGACAAGTCTACTTTTTAGAGATTTGGGAGATGAAAATGAAGGCACTATTCTTTTTAAATGTTAATTTTTATTGTTAGATAATTTCATGCATATGTGATATTTTGATCAAATCCACCTTCCTTATTCTACCCCCTCCTCACTTTTCCCTCCAAACTTCAAGTGCTCTTTTTTAAAAATAATCTCCTGAGCCCACTTGGTGTTGGCTTATATGTGCGTGGGTATTGGACCATCTACTGGAGCACATGTGGCCTCTCAGGGGTTGCACTCCCCTCCCCCAGCAGCCATCAATTTCCAGGAACTCCTCAACTAGGGGTGGGACTTCATGAGTGTCTCTTGTGTCCATGAAGGAATTTTGATTGGCTTGATCTTGTGCAGGTTTTATGTATATAGTCACAGCTGCTGTGAATTCCATTCTGTCATGCCTGACAAATACTGTCTCACTGCATATGTTCACTACTCTGGTTTTTATAATATTTCTGCCCCCTCTTCCATAATCATCCATGAGCTCCACGGGGGGGGGGGGGGGCGGAGAGGCATGATATAGTTCTCCCATTTAGAACTGAGCACTCCACAGTCTCTTATTCTCAGCATGTGAACTTATTGTGGGTCTCTATATTAATCACCATCTATTGCAAAATAAAAGAAGCTTTTCTTATGAGGGTTAACAGATGCACTAATCTATGGGTATAAAGATAAGAATGTAGAGGGCAGTTTAATGCTATGTCCATTTAGCAGGAAAGAAGTATTAGGTTATCCACTAGGACCCAGGACCTAACCAACCATAGGGCTTTGGCCGAGTTAATGATGTCAGGTATGAGTTCCATTTTGTGAAATGGGTTTTAAATTCAATCAGAAAGTTGTTGGGCATATCTTGTCAAACCAGTCATTATTGTAGGTCACAGGATTCATAGCTGGGTAAGACTGTTGACCACTTCACTCCTCCAGTAACATGCATAGAACTTCCAAGGACTATGAATGCTAGCCAATAGAGACAAGACTTCCATGCTGGTACCAGCTTGATTTTTCCCCTTTTTATGACTCATGTATGTGGGCCTTCAACAATAGGGTCTTACCATCAAGTTCTGGAGGGTAACCAAGGGCAATAACAATAGCCTGTCATGCTTGGAGTAGTCTATGGGGATCTCACTGACCAACAACTCAAAAAAGGGTAACTGTGGAAGGTGAGGTAAAAAGATGGTAAGAGCCAGAGGCAGTGGGTGACACAATGGAACAGTGTTTTCCAGACACAGCAGGGAAGTTGCATATGTGAACTCACAGTGATTGTGACGGCATCCATAAGATCTGCATAAGCTCAAGTCAGACACAATCCCAGCATGGGGGGTGGGGGATGTGGGCAACACAAAGACTCACCTCTAGCTGAGACGCTATAGGAAACTGATAGCTACTGGGAGAGGGAGAGTCAGTTTTCTTTAAAGATGTGGCTGCTTGTAAGTTGGCTATGCTACAGTGGATGACCCCACACTCAAGAGCATATGGACAGCACAACTTGATGGGTTTAAGAAAATGAGGACACAAAGTTAAGTGGGTAGAGAAGTGGGGGTAGATTTGGGAAGAGTTGGGGGGAGGAGAAGTGAATATGATGAAAATGTAATAACTTCTAAAAAAACTAATAAAAAAAGATCCAACCCATACCTGGCACTGAACTTTTTATTTGCTAGCCTATGGTATCTGGGAGAAGCATTTGTCCCCATTACAGGATAACTATATTTTAACTGCTTTTACATAAATAATGTATATTATTTTAGGATGATTCTACTGTATTAGATTTCTAAATGGCTTTAGTGTTATTTATCCCTCCCCATACTGCCTCCCTTACCCCTCTCTCCAATCCTCCACTCCATTTTATCCTTCCTATTCCCTTATTCTCCATTCCCCACCCCCTGCCCCAAAATCCCCCTGGGTTGTATCTACCCTCCCTTCAAAGCCCCCATCCCAATGGCTTACTATTTCCTACCTTCTTTCTATGGGTGTTACAATTTAAATACAAATATCTAAAGATTCAATGCTAGTATCCACATATGATAGAGAACATGTAACATTTGCCTTTCTCGGTCTGGGTTACATCACTTAGAAGGATTATTTCTATCTCCATCCATTTACCTATGAAGTTCATAATTTTATTTGCAGCTGAACAATATCCCATTGTGTATATGTACCACATTTTCATTGTCCATTCATAAGATAATAGACATCCAGGTTGTTTCCATACAGTGGTTTTTTGTGAACAGAGCAGCAATGAATGTGGATGAGCAAGTATCTCTGTAGCAGGATATAAAGTCCTTTGGGAAAATGCCCAGGAGTGGTACAGCTAGATCATACTGAAAATTTATTTCTAGATTTTTGGGGAACCATCACGCTGATTCCCATAGTAGTTGCACCAGTTTGCACTCCCACAGCAGTGAATAAGTATTCCACTTTACCCACATCCATGCCAGCATTTGCTATCATTTTTTAAAACTTAGCCATTCTGACTGGAGTAAGATG